AATTAAATGGACAGGGGGGGGGGGGGGTGCACAAGACATCTGGACCACCCTGTGCTGTACACGTACAATTATGTACAACTGCGTAATGTTTTACATTCTAACTCTATACTCTTTGCTTCTTTCGCAAAAGCCACGTAGGTAGACATAAAATAAAACAAAATAAAAAATAAAACAAATGCAATTATTTCTTATAATTTTCTTTAAAAAATTTCTGCTTATTTCTTCAAATTATTATTAAAATGTATTTCTAACTACGTCTAACTACGTCACGAAAGCTTCAAATCAAGATTAGATATTACTCGTATTTTTTATTGTTTCATGTGTTGGGTTCACGTAGGGTAACATAACACACAAGGAGTGGTTGGGTGTCGTATCACGAACCGTGAACCAAACCCACCTCTAGTTTTCCCCTTTTGCCTTCTGAGTTTTGCGGATCGCGGATTTTGTCGATTGCAGCGATTTTCAAGAACGCAACCCCCTGGCCGCGATTGTGCCAAGGGTTTTGGTGTACAGTTCTTGAAAACAACTTGAGTGACTATTAAAGTCTGAGGCTGAGCTCAGGCGTGGTATGGGGCCGTCCATAAATGACGTCACGCGATTTTGGCAGATTTTTGACCTCCCCCCCCTCGTCACACGGCGTCACAAAGAGTCAGACCCCCCCCCACTCAAATATGACGTCACAAAGCTCTGCCTCCCCCCCTTAAAACCATATTTCCATTTTGAAAATAAAACATGCTTCAACTCGCTTTAAACTATTGTCATTGTAGTGCGTATTTAATGTGGCGCTGCACTCTGATGTTGGAAAGCTGAAATTTAGCATAAATTTCACTTTAAAATATTCAACGTCTAACTAAAACTGCAGATGTTTAGAATATTATATTGAAATTCTCTTATAATTATTAAATATTAAAAGTTATTAAAATTATTTAAAATATACTTGAAACGTTGCAGTAGAACGAAGCAAAATGGAGAGTACAATTATAACAATCACATATTAATTCCACAGAATGAAAGCCCTGGTAGAATCATTAAAATCAAAATGTTCCTTCATGGATTAAATAAAAGGTGACCTTTGTAAATTTAAATAATCAAATAGTTAATAATGAAAATTTATCAAAATTAGTGTTGTTATAACAATGATATTGTTTATATTTATTTAAAGTTGCGCATTTTGATGTGCCGTCACATTTCTCAACCCCCCCCCCCCCCCTCGTCACACATCGTCACAAATGTCTCACCCCCCTCCACTCCCTAGGTGTGTGACGTCATTTATGTACAGCCCCTATAAGAGGCCAATCAATATCCGAGACGTGACGAACAACACGGTCCTAAAGACGCCCGCTCAATCCTCATGCACGGGGCATTCTAAGCGTTTGCTTGCTCTTGGAAAGGATAAACCTCCGATTAGCGCAGCTGGCTACGTACGGAACGGAACAAAAGAAGTTCAACATACATACGAACAGAAGTCCGCTTTTTTTTTTTACACGTTGAGCTGTATGTTCAATCGGATTGCCTGCAGCATAATTAATTTGCTTCAATGAGTGTCATTCGCTATTGGAGGCGGTAGAGACGCAAACCCCCTGGCCACTTCTGAGATGGTTGTAAATGCTGCTTTGAAGTCACGGTGTTGTGTAACCTGCCAGCTGATTTTTTTTTCATTTTTAAACGTGTAAAGACCGTTGCACGTAATTAATGCGTATACGGCAGAAGGCCCTCTGGTTGGAGTCTGTTTCTATATTCTCTCCATGTTCTTCATATGGGTTCCACCAGGTTTCCTGTCGAAGCGTTACAATATAAATAAAGTAAAAGCACACACACTCACACACACACAATGTATTCGGTGTTGTAATCTTTGGTTTTATTCGGTGAAGTCACGTGACTTTACCGAATAAAACCAAAGAGTGTGAATCCTTGCAGTCACGAAAGCTTTAAATCTATTCGGTGTTGGCCAAACGTCCCAGTGCTGGAGAATGAACCTCCCAATTGCAAACATGTGGGTTACAACAGCAGCAGCAACAACATCGCCGTTGACTGCAAAATATTGGCAGGACCCCGCTTGAAAATTAGTCTTGAGACTAGGTGAGCCGTTCCTTGGTAAGCGATTTGCCGCGATTAAACAGGGGATACGAAGGAAATTGCTTGACACATCAGGCTCCCCAAGGAACAAAAACACGAGTTCACATCTCGGCTATGGTGATGATAATGATGATAGAATCACTGTCATGTATATTATCATTATAATCATGTACAACGATCATCAGAATTGTAGTGCAGTTCACCACAAAGGAGAACTCCTCTTTATCCATGGTGATGTGGGCAACCAATTTTGTACATCATTACCCGCGGAGTTATCCGTAATTTTACTTTTCTTATCCACGGGGTGAAGAATCACGGAAACCCCCACAGGTAATGGGATTAATTTTCAGTGCCGGCCCCCCTGTTATCCGTGAAAATATCGCGGGTAATAGAAGTATTTGATGCACATCAGGGGGATTAGCAGGCAATGTGCAATGTGCGGCGTTTAAATAACACACTGGCATGGAGACACATAGACACACGGAGACACACAGACACGGAGACACACAGACACGGAGACACAGACACGGAGACACACAGTCCACTCAGCTCCACATCCTCCTGTACCACATCACTCCATCTCTTTTCTAGCCCGTGTCGCGCCCGATTATCCCCCTCGATCCGGCCGAACAAAAGCTGTTTAGGCATGCAGTGGCTGGGCACGCGGGCTACATGGCCCAGCCAACGCAGCCTTGCCTGCCGGAGGAGCTCACCAATGGGACTTTGTCCAGATCTTTCAAGGATTTGTGAGCTCCTCAAACAATCCAGCCTGGTTAAACCCAGGATGGGTCGTAGGCAGGCCAGTCTAAATGTTTCTAACCGACAAAGATGTTCCATTAGGGGGGGTTCACGTTTCGCAAGCGTAGAGAAGGGAGGGAATGACTGTGGCCGAGAAGACCTGAAGCTTCGTGCGGAGCGACAGACCAGGTAGTTTCCACATAGCGTTATGCAACCGATGAAAAGATAATGCCGCTCGACTGATTCGGAGTGAGACCTCTGCTGTTAAACTGGAGCCGGTCATGAGCACACTGCCCAGGTATGGGAAACTCTCCACTATCTCCAAAACTGCCCCATCACCAATTAGGAGTAGTGGGGGTGGAGCGTCCGATGGTACAAAATACCCAGGCAGGTGCTTAGTTTTGGTGGGGCTGATAGTAAGGCCCCACCTCTTAATGGCAAGCTCCAGGTTCAGCAGCGCCTCCAACTCCTCCTCTGAGTGAGCAGCAATTACCAGATCATCGACATACATAACATGTTCTTTGGTTCTTTCGGTAAAGTCACGTAGAATGAGAATAAAATAACAAATTGATAAAATAAAATAACGCAATAATATTCTCACTTATTATTTCTACGTGACTTTACCGAAAGAACCAAAGAAGATTAATCCTTGCAGTCACGAAAGCTTTAAATCGAAATTTAAAAATACATAACATGGTTGAGCAATAGGGAGCCATCCCTTGACCGCACCCAGGCATCGATCAGCCTCCCATTGTATCTTTACCAGATGGAAATTCCTCTAGTATAGCTATTGAAGGCTTCACGAACTACGTGGTCGAAATAGATGTTAAATAATGTGGGAGCCAGAGGACATGGCCACGTAGTTTTACCCTGGCCCGCTCACCATCATGACGGTCCTTAATGATCATTAGCAGAGGGTCAGGGACTCTGAAAGCACGAAGAACAACCCAGAGCCCAGGGCTACTGATTGTATCATAGGCCTTGACCAGGTCAATAAAGCAGAGATGTAGGTCTTGTTGGAATTCCCTACACCTCTGCTTTAGCAGACGGACTGAAAATATGGCATCTGTGCAGGACCGCCTTTTTCTGAAACCGCATTGGGGCTCCGCAAGTCTCTCAGCGTGCCTAGCAAGGCGATGTTGAATAATCCTTGCCAGGACCTTTCCCGGTACACTGAGGAGTGAGATGTCCCTGTAGTTGTTACAGTCTGTGCGGTCCCCCTTCTTAAAGAGAGGGGTCACCAGGGCATCCTTCCAGTCCTGCGGAACCCGTCCAGTGGTCCAGACTGTTGTTATGATGTAATGTAGGGCAGTTTGTGCACAAACGCCACCCTCCCTCAGCATTTCGCTTTGGAGATCATCTCTTTCCGGTGCCTTTTCTGGTCTAAGTCTCTGGATCGCCTTCAGTACTTCCTCAACAGACGGCACTTTAGCCAGCCAATCACAGGGGGTGACTTCTTCTTCCAATACATTAGGCACCGCAGCCTCGGCAGGGTCATCCCCACTTTGTCCCACGTCTTCCAGGCAGGGGAATTTCCCCTCCCCCAGGACCTCACAGAAAGGCTCAGCAAATCTGCGAACCTGTTCCTGGGGGTCGGAGATTGGATCACCGTTCTTTCCCCTAATGATGGTAATAGGTGTGGCGCTGCAGGTTACTTTTTTGATGGAGTTAAAGAGCAATTTGTGATCGACAGTCATTGAGGCAGACTCCATCTCCTCAACAACCCGCGACCACCACCCATCTTTGCAGTGCCTCACGGCTCTCCAAACCTCTGAGCGAAGGCTACGGTAAGCCTCCTCATTCTCTGACGTGGGATGCTGTAGCCGGTGGGAGTGGGCCTGTCGCTTTTTGTCAGCCAGCCTGAACACCTCTTCTGTCAGCCAGGGTCTCTGGGGAGGTCTGGACCATGTACCCAAAGCAGCCATTGCAGCTGCATGAGCCACAGTCCTAAACCTCGCCCATTTCCCCTCGACATCAGGAGGAGTAATGGAAGATGCCAACCCCAGTTACAAGCGATGATGAAATTTTTGCTTGCAACTTTCATCAGCTAGCTGAGACACACAGACACACAGACACGTGTCTGTGTGCGTATCCCTATCTTTGCATACGTCTCGTGTCTGTGCGTGTGTCGCCCTGTCTCTGTGTGTTCATGTCTCTGAGTGTGTTCGTGTCTTTGTTAGTGTGTTCGTGTATGTGTGAGGGTGTTCCTGTCTCTGTGTGTTCGTGTATCTGTGTGTCCCCGTGTCTCTGTGTGTGTCTCCGTGTCTCTGTGCATGACTGTGTCTCTGCGAGTGTCTGCGTTGTCTCCCTGTCGAAGCAAGTACTGCCCGTGCAAATGCTTTGATTGTGGCCATTTTTGTTTGAAGCGCGATTAATCGCAGATATTAGGAATTAAATTCCAAACAACTCCTCTTATTCGCAAAACAATCACAAGTATTAGGAAGCCGCTTTGCTACGCATTATGGGTACAATCGTAGATCATACGAAGATATAGGCCCATGCATATAATAGAAGCTTCACAGGCCCTATAGGTGCCGTGGATAATTATCCTATTACCCACGACTTTCTATCATAATAGAAGTCGTGGGTAATAGGCCCGCGGATAAGAGAGGTTCTCCTTTATTTAAATTAAAACTAATGTAGATACTTTGCCTACAAAATATAGATACTTGCCTACAAAATATATTTTTTTTTGTTACCGGTTTATTGCGAAGTAGTAACGTTTGACCCCGGGGAAAAACCTTTGATCCGATTGTAACGTTTCACGGCTCAAGCGGGTACTAAAACCAGAGCAATTCGGTCGTCCATTGCCATAGCACTCTCGCCTGAATCGTCCCACTCTTGCAAGATAACTGTGACAGGGTCTTTAAAGTCTTTTCTTCCCCCCCCACCCCCAGCAGACATCATGCGTTTGCAAATTCCCCGCAGGCGTCCGGCATGCGGTCGCGGTAAAAGTAACACCTTTGTAGCGAGAGTCTGCGCACCAACTGACCGACGCTAAACGCAATCAGCTATTGCCTTCCTGTCGTGAAACTTGAAGTTCGTGGTCATCCGTCAGTTAAGGGCACCACGGTAACGAGATGTTAGCTACCTCGCCCGGTGTACAGGAGGTCGTCGTGGGTTCGATCCCGACCATGACGCCTGTTGTATATTCGGAGTTTGCGGTGTCTCTCTCTCTCTCTCTCCCGGTGTTCGCGTGGATTTTATTATCTGGGTCCTCCGGTTTTCCCCTCCACACTTAGAATCAACAACACGCGTTCAGAGCATTCGACTACTGCCATACGTGTCCAAGTGTTAGCCAGGGTCGGATCTGAAAAATAAGCTACACAGCTCGGTGGGGCTTACACCTGGTAAAATACAAAAAAATAGTAAAAAAAAAGTTTGGGTTTTATTAGGGACATTCCCTCATTTTCTCGCTGTTCGAGGCTGAAATGGTCATGGTGAAGGAGTCGTCCGTGGCGAGCGTCCTCGCGTCGCTGGGGACCTCTCCGGAACTCTTCCCCTCCTGCCGCCCCCGCGGCGACGGCGCGGCCGCGGGGGCACTGAGGCAGAGCGCGCGGTAGTCCCCGTAGATGACCACGAGGCGGTAGGCCTGCAGCATCAGCACGAGCACGTTCTTGATGGTGAAGAAGATGAGCATCTGCATTTGGTCGAGGACTCCGAAGTGGATGAGCAGCAGCAGCCGAACCTGCACGGGACCGCAGGAGACGTGCGGTTAGCGGAGATGGGCAACACGCTTTGAAGTCACCGCAGTGTAATGCCATCGCAGGTGCGCACTGTCAGTGCCGGATGATCCGAGTAGCAAAAGTAGCTACTTATGTAGTAGCTACATATGTAGTAGCTACATATGTAGTAGCTACTTATGTAGTAGCTACTTATGTAGTAGCTACTTATGTAGTAGCTACTTATGTAGTAGCTACTTATGTAGTAGCTACTTATGTAGTAGCTACTTATGTAGTAGCTACTTATGTAGTAGCTACTTATGTAGTCGCTACGGGCCCTGTACTTTCAAGGACCCCGCGCTAAATGCTTTCAAGCTATCAATTCCGGTGCAGTGATTCTGCACTTGCTCTATTACTATAGTACTATACCGCCTTCAAATTTTATGAACGACTGGGTGTTTAAGGTTAGCGATTTGTCGTATTATCTGGCTGTATAGCAAATAAAAAATACAATTATTTTACTATACAATATAAACATTTGTATACTCATTGGTTCTTTCGGTAAAGTCACTTCTCAGGTTTGTTGAGTTCGTGTCTCCCATCTTCTTGCTGTATTTGCCTCCGTGCAGTTTGCCTTACTCTCTGTGCTCTGTGTGTGATGTCCCTCTGTGTGTTCCCTCGCTATGTGTTTTGGCCCATTTTCACCTGATGATGAGCGCTTGTGTTGCGTTCGAAACGTCGTGATTTATTAAAATTTTATTTTATTTGTGATTTATTTAAATTTTATTTTATTTCTACATACGTGACTTTACCGCAAGAACCAGTGAGTATAGTAATTCCTGCAGTCACGAAAGCTTCAATTCTAAATTTTGATTTAAAGCTGTCGTGACTGCACGAATTCATATCCTTGGTTCTTTCGGTAAAGTCACGTATTGTTTCCCTTCTACGTGACTTTACCGAAAGAACCATGAATATGCTTCAATTCTAGTTTTAAAAATTGTTTTTATTTTTACGTTTTTTTTTTAATTTAGGGTCCCTTTATAACATATGCTACAGGCCCCACACTAGCTTAATCCGGCATTGCGCACGGTACCAATCAACCGTGTGTCTCGTGTAATCCCTCGCCCATCGGTTGCTTTAAATACACTTTGTTGAATCAGGTTCATTATTTAGACCATAGGAGGAATCCGCTGAGCTGTGAAGCGCTTTTTCCACGGATGTCCAGCAGGGGCACGGGGAGTCAGCAGCTGAGGTGTTGACCCAGGTCTCTTTCGAGACCAGCAGAGGAAACTGCCCCACCCCCGGCGAGAAAACGGATTTTGTCGCAACCACAGCAGATATTTATGGAAGGCACCGGCATCTATTTTTAAACCAGTGTCCTTGACAGACAATGCGCCTGCCACTCACGACCACTGCTGGCTGGTGGAGGGAGGGCCCCATTCTTTATGCGTGGCGCTGAGACCACTTTACTCGACTGCGCCCGTCGATGATTTATTCAGGTGGAATTTCGGCTTGAACGTTGAACTGTGAGCAGCTCAACGTTCAAGTCCACCCTTGTGCGGATTCACGAGCAGGCATTGTGCGTGTGTGTGTTGGTTTGTGTTGTGTTGGATTGCATTATTGGATTGTGTTGTTGGTTTGTGTTGTTGGATTGTGTTGTTGGTCTGTGTGTTGGCTTGTGTGTCAGTTTGTTGTTGGTTTGTGTGTTGGTTTGTGTGTTGGCTTGTGTGTTGGTTTGTGTGTCAGTTTATTGTTGGTTTGTGTGTTGGCTTGTGTGTCGGTTTGAGTGTTGACTTGTGTGTTGGTTTGTGTGTTGGCTTGTGTGTTGGCTTGTGTGTCAGTTTGTTGTTGGCTTGTGTGTTGGCTTGTGTGTCAGTCTGTTGTTGGTTTGTGTGTTGGCTTGTGTGTTGGCTTGTGTGTCAGTTTGTTGTTGGTTTGTGTGTTGGCTTGTGTGTCAGTTTGTGTGTTGGTTTGTTGTTGGTTTGTTCGCGTGACATCTATAACCTAATTCATGTGGTGGTAAGAAGTCAATTTTTAATGAACTTTCTGCACAATTCAACCTCTTATCAGTGCCTACCTTATTACAGACCAATTCAGACCTTATTGGTCACCCCGTGCCCCTTATAAATCTCAACGTTCATCCTCCAAAGTCCCATCACAAGGGAGAAACACAAACAAATACACATTTGTTTTGCCCATATTAAAACAGTTGTATGCCCTGTGGACCTAAAAACTGAATGTCCCTGTTCAAGAATACGGGTAAACCGTATGGATCGCCAGGTATGCAATTTGGTAATTTCTCGGAAAAGCTTTAACAGCAACTGACCTGCAGGTCCCAAATCATGTGTTTACTCACATTGCCGTAATTACCCTTTTATTTCTGAACCTCCACTCTAAGTGTGACCTCACGATTAAACTGCAGCTCAGCGAAAAATTCCCTGACCACCACAGAGCCGATCAAACCTGGCTGCCGCGTACACCAACGTCACTCTCTGAGCATGCGGATCGACGCTGTGGACCAAAACAGGCACGGGTGACCAAAACCGTGCTCCGTAAAACGCGACGCCGTAAAACGCGACGCCGTATTCGTTCGGTCTCGGCACGGGGGTAGGCCGAGGGCTTCGCACCACGAGGAAGGGCCCATCCTGGATGAAAACGCTGATGACGATGGCCCACAGATCCGTGCTGTAGACGCGCACCAGAGTCCTCCACCCGCGGGCCGGCGCTTGCTCCTGCGAGCCCGGCAGCGCCTGGTGAACTGCCAAGCGAGGGGGGAGGGGGGGGACGTGCCGAGTCTGAGCCCCCAAAGGTCGTGACCTCCCCGTTGGGATGTGCGCTTGCTGGACGCCTCGGCAACTCAAGGAAAGGCCTCGCATCACACATTTCACCTGTACGGCTGTCTCTGGTGTAGGCCAATCAGTTTCGAAGGCAATTTGTTTGTTTGCATGTTTTTACACAAGTACTCTAATATGCAGACTTGATGCCTTGCAAAAGATATCTATTTGGCATTTGAATATCTTAACACCTGCTGTATTGCCGGAATGGGTAAAACTTATTATATGTTTTCATTATGTTGAACTTGTTCCGCACCGTACGTAGCCAACCGTGCCAATCGGAGGCGCGGAGGAAGGACGACAAACTAAACACAAAAAGCAGTTCTAAAGAAATGAGTTTTTAATCTAGATTTGAATGTGCATAGCTACAGTGGCTTCCTAATATTGGAAGGAAGAAGAGCGTTCCAGACGGACGCAGCCAAGAGCAACCGCTGCGAGGATGCTCTTGGCTGCGAGCGATCAGCGAGGTATTGTGGTCATTTGTGGCAAGCACTTTGTACGTAATGTGTGCGACCATAGAATGTATTATAAGGTCGCGTTTCAATCATCCCAAGCCAGCAGCCAGTTTTTAGCTTCAAGGACCCCCCCTGATGCCAGCTGCCCATGTACAGCGCAAGGTGAATGGTAGCACAGGCCCCAAAACAGAGCATTGTCCTGCCAGCAGGGGGCACAGTGGGCATAATCCTGCCAGTAGTATGTATGCACGTTGGAGTTCTTTTGCACCGTACGTAGCCAGCCGCGCTAATCGGATGTGCGGGGGACTAATCGGAGTAGGGGGGCAATGTTTTCCCAATCAAGCGATTTCTGGGTAATATCTCGCCAATTTGGACCACGACGTTACAATCACACGTCAGCTCAGTGGCACGCGTATGGCCTACTCTTCTTAGAAAAAAACAAAACGGGGATCTTTAACGTCCGCTGTGAATGAGACGGCGCGTATCGGTGGCGAACACACCCCCGTGATATTGGCCAAAAAAAATCTGCGACGAGCGGCGAACGCGTCACCGCAAGGTCACGTCGTGGTCTAACAAGAGCGCAGCTCTGGGCGGTGGTGGTGATGGCCCATTGGGGGGCCCTAAGCGGACGTTGATTCACTGAATCTTCGTGCGATGACAGAAGAGACGCAGACAAACAGAATCAGAAGTCTGTCACCCGAGTAAAGCCCACTGGGCCACGAAACTCTTTTTCAAACGTGCGACTTGGCCGGCAGAAGACAGAAGATGATGGCGAGATGTTAACTACCTCGCCTGGTGTACGGGAGGTCGTGGATTCGATCCCGTGTGGATTTTTCTCCGTGCCCTCCGGGTGTTTCCCTCCACATTTGGAATCAACATGCGTTTACAGTATTTGGCTGCTATAAATTTCCACACAATCAGCCACTTCATTGATCATTTATCTTATTGTTTCCCAAAGTCTTACCTTTTAATTGCATGACTTGAGTGTCTGCTTCGCTTTGTACAGTGCTTTGTGATCTATGATAAAAAGTCTCCTTCATAGATATAATTAATGTTATAATAATAGGTTTTACCCCTTCTGGCAATAAAAAAAGTTGTGTTAAGATGTTAAAACACCAAACAGAAAACTTTTGCAAGGAATCATGTCTGCATTAACCACACACTTGTGGTGAACATGCAAACAAAAACACGCTCTGGTAGTATATGTATTGTCTTTGAAACTCATTGGTCCACACCGGAGACAGCTTTCTTTAGAGCCTAGTCTCAAACAGTGTTGGGCCAGAGAACTCCAAAAGGCGAACAGCACAAAGACAATGCACATTGAGGGCATTTATAAATCGAGCTGAGCAGCTACATCAGGGGACCTCCCTTACCAGTATCAAAATATAAAAATAGGTTTTACCCTTATTGCAAGAAAGGACAAAACCTACTTTATATATTTAGATACTGACAAGGGATGTCCCATGGAGAATTACTGTAGTTGTTATTACTATTATTATCTCTACAAGCTACCAAGTGCGATGAAGAAGATGCGTACCTTTGATGACGAGCGGAAACTGCATCAAGCTCCACGTCCAGACTGCCATGATGCAATAGAACAGCGGCCTGTTACACCTGCAGAGCACCGAGCCACTTGGGTTAAACAAAGAGCCTCTCAGCATTTGTTCTATAATCACCGGACGCGTTGAACTCTTTCTATTATAATTATGGGTTTCAAAGGCCTGCTTTAAAAAGTCGCACACGCACGCACAAAAGTCGAATATAAAAATATTATGCACGGCATTTGTAGCATTTCTTGTAAAAAAAACGTGTTTAATTATAAACAACATTATTCAACTCGTGCAACAATTGAAATTATCTTTGGTACAAAGCATGGTAAAATATATCCTGTCGGTGAAGACGTTGGTTTAAATATATTAAATAAATGGGCCATCAAAAATTGTTTACATAGAAGTTATTAATAACTCAACACATTCGTCAATAACACGGACTTTTTAAAAAGTATGTAATAGTCGACGTTTCGGGCAATCGTCCTTCATGGCACACAGAGAGGTGCCGTGTCTGAGGACTTGTTTGTGGCTGTGTGGAATGACCATTGCCAGAAATGTCGCCTCACAGTGCCGTTAACAAACGCGTTGAGTTGTCTCGCTATTTGTGCTAATGCACCACTGTCAACCCAGTACCACCGACTAATTTATATATAAGAAGAGTCACGTTGGGTGGCCGCCAGTTGTGGGAGAATTGTGTTTCCACTTCAGAGTTGTCAATTGACTCATAAATCACGTAAAACTACGACGGGAAACGCACACTCTGAAGTCACCGACAGCCCGTCAATGGTAACTGTTGAACTGAGGCTCACATCTCTCTCTAACATCTCTCTCACATATCTATTAAATATCTCCGACATATATCTGTTTCACACATCTCTCTCGCATCTCTCACATATCTATCTCACATATCTCTGACATATCTTTTTTACATATCTCAATTTAGCATATCTTTCACATATCTCTCTGGCACCTCTCTCGTATCTCTCTCAGATATCTCTATCACGCACATCTCTCACATATCTCTCAAACATATCTCTCAAACATCTCTCTCTCACATATCTTTCTCTCAAACGGGCAGCTAAATGAACCTCGTGGTCACTCGTCCTCTTGCCCATCGCTTTGACCCAGTTCCATTCCCAGTGCGAAATTCTTACATGAATTACCAACACTCAATGCACGTTCGAGAGTACGAGAGATTAAAGAACCCGTGAGACCATTCACAAGACAATGCCGTTGTGTGCCAATGTCATAGCCAAATTAAATTAAAAATACATTATTTCCATTTGAATTACAAAAGAGAAATGTTCGTTTACGTCAACGGCTATCCATCGAAATGATTGTGTACTATATGAAATAAAATACATCTCCTCGGGCAGAATACACCAATAAAACTAACATTCAGTTCGTCAGCTTTTTGGGCCGCACGTATTGATGTATTCCAGTGGCGTTTGCTGAAAGAGACGCGGTCACTTAGGAAGGTGGTGCAAAGAGCTCTTGAAAGGGACAGAGATGCCGATGCCGAGGTGGATGATGGGAAGATCTCTGAGAAAAAAATGGAGGTGGGATGAAGCAATTGCAGCATTTTGCCGGAATTACTGATATCCCTGAGAAGATCAGCGAGGTAACACTTCGATGCTTTGGGCTCGCATTGAGCATAGACAAAGAAGATCAAACTAAACAATTTAGATTGTATCAGGTATATAGCTATTTTTCAGAAGCCACCTGGCTATCACACATGATAGCTTGACGAATTGGCCTATCACGTGGAAATGTGTAGCAGCCAAATGCTCTAAAACGCTTGTTGATTCTAAATGTGGAGGGAAAACAGGAGCTGGAGAAAATCCACGTCGCCACGGGGACAGACACCGCAAACTCCAAATACACAGGCATCAGGGTCGGGATCGAACCCACGACCTCCTGTATACCTCGCGAGGCAGTTAACATCTCCTAGCCACCGTGGCACCCAGATGCAGTGAAAAGGGCTGTGTAGATGCCACCGGTGCAGGCCAGATAGGGGTCCAGCGAACCCGAGGGTGAGACGAGAGGTTGCGGTGGAACGAAATAACGACGACAAGAGGGACACAATAATAATAAATAATAAGCAATCTAAGCACGTGGAGAAATAAAATTGTTTATGGAACACAATCTTTGACCTGTCATTACTTGCCAGGTGTTTTTGCCTGGCTCAACAATGCGATCTCACTGGGCAGACAGATGTTGTGAGTCGGATGCCGTGAGTCCGATGCAGCCATAAGCAATGCGATTGCCAAGACTAAACTAGAGGCAATGCACATGTCAGATCATATCGAAGCCCTTCCGTGAATTATTGCATTCAAATCAATGAGTAGGTAAGACATTATATACGTCGTATCTCAAGACCAACGTTATGATTCTCAAGATCTGAGCTCACCTGAACAACCTGAGGATTCTGGGTGTAATTAGCGAAACGTCGGTACCCGTGTAAATGTTTTTTTTATATTTCTCTCCAACGACAACACAGGTCGTGCTGCTGAAGCGGTAATAAATTATCGCGTTCGAATCACGTGACACTTTTATTCATTGGCTGTGTCGGGTGGAGGAGGGTTTACGACACACATTCTTCTTGACTTACACACGACCGACTCAAAAGGAGCACAGAAAGAAAGAAAACACCGTCAGCCCACAATGACCCTGGCAAGTCTTAACAAACCAGTTGTCTCATGTACAGTATCTGCCTACCTACCCACCTTGCCTAATGTCTCCTGCTTGAGAAGTAAACAACTCATTAACAATCAACATCATTAGACCTCCTTTTGCCAGTACCAAAATGTAATAACAGGGTTTTCCCCCTTTTTTCTGGCAACAAAACTGAAACCTTTTTTTACAAAGATTCATGTCTGCATTAACCACAGTACCTGCAGTCAAAATGCAAACAAAAAACATACTATGATAATATATGATGCATTGTCCTTGAAACTGATTGGTCCACACCAAGGGACGGCTTTCTTTTGAGCCTCGACCCATTTGGTGCTCGACCAGATGACGTCATCTTGGTGTGGACCAATCAGTTTCAAGGACAATGCATATATTATCATAGTATGTTTTTTGTGTTGCATTTTGACTGCAGGTATTGTGGTTAATGCAGACATGAATCCTTGGAAAAAGGTTTCAGTTTTGTTGCCAGACAAAAGGGGAAAACCCCTATTATTATAACTCATTAACATATAGGGGACCGCAGAGCTCGGGCAATTGTTGGCGCCTGCTCACCGCGTGGCAGCCTTCCTGCTCGTCTGTGCTTCCTCGCGCCTCTGAGTCGTTCTCTGCCTCTCTGTGAGTGCGCGCGAACGCCACGTGCGGTGATTGAAAACTAATTTATTTTAGAACTGCCATTTTGTGTCCAGTTTGTTGTCCTTCCCACCTGCACCTCCGATTAGCACGGTACGATGTGAACGAAGTTGAACATACGTACGTACATACGAGCTGAAGTTTACTCAAAGTACCGTGTAGACTGATGGCCTTAATCTTAGTTGGGTTGTTGTTGTTTGACTTGCATCCCACTGGGATTTTTGCACACAGCGTTGGTGTACGGTGCTATTTCAGGAATATTTTGATGGTTTTTTTCCTGGATTTTCTGTTTGCACAGTCACAGTCACGTAGCACACTTTGAGACGTTTTCTTGTTCATGTTTTTTTGTTTGTTGCGGTTGCACCCGATTCAAGAGCCGAATGGCTCACAGGGCTATACCAAAATAAATAAAACTATGGAACTATGGTGTCTGCAGGTCCAAGCCTAGGCACGCGGGAACCACACAGGACGCTGTGCCGGAGCGTCGAAACGCACCTCACTACGGAGTCCTGCATCGTCTCCGTCTTGAACTCCAGGATGTCGCCGGCCGTGCCGATGAACTCGAGGAGCAGCTGCGAGAGCTTCTCGCGAGAGACTTCGGTGCCCGTGGGCAGCAACCAGCGCCCGATGATGAGGAGCAGCAGGAGCATCTGGTGGATGCACAGGATCCACGCCTCGTTCGAGTCCAGGAGGCTGTTCACCTTGGACTCCAGTTGCTTCACCTGCGCGGGGAGACGGCACGCAGTCGGTAAGGGAAGAGGTGGGAGTGGGGGGGGGGAGAAAGGCTGAGACGGCGAGGGAGGCTGAGATTTCTGGTGAAGTCGACCGCCCCGTAGGAGAGGCCTCTCACAATAGGGCACCTCGGTGGCGAGATGTTTACTACTTCGACGGCTATGCAGGAGGTTCGTGGGTTCGATCCCGACCCTGATGCCTGTGTAAGGGATGTCAGGGGAAGGATTCCCACCAAAAGGAGGGGGAGTGGGACGGTGACAGGGGAAGGTAGTAATCGAGGAGATATAAGAGAGAGGTGTGGCCTGGAGAAAGGAATACAAGACGAAGCCCCTGCAACCTCGTGTCGGCTCTCCTTTACATCTATTTGTATATTTGGAGTTTGCATGTCTCTCTCTTCCCGTGGTCACGTGGATTTATCCACGGTTTTCCCTCCACATTTAGAATCAACGCGCGCTTAGAGCATTTGGCTGCCGTAAACATCCACACGATGATAAGCCAATGTAGATTTGAAGTTTTAATCTAGATTTGAAGTTTTGATGATAAGCCACTTCGTTGAGCTATCATTGGTGATGGCCAGCTCGCTTAAAAAAAAAATTGATCCATAGCTCAGTGGGCCTTACCTGGTTAAATACAAAATAGTTTTAGTTTACGCACCGTGGAATACGCCCGCTTCACAGGGGAAGGCGAACGATACCGTTGGCGTGATTTGATAAAAGAGTGTAGTCCCAAAGACTCCCAATGTGTTTCAAAGGTCACTCTCAAATCACGTGAGCCAAACCACGTGGCGGCGACATCGCCCCTTGCTGTCGGACTAAACTCGCCGTGAAGCACAGCGCCTTCGTGGTGGCCTTGCGTTATGAGAATGGTGGGTTGCGAATACCCAACTTCGCACGGATCAGTTGGGGAGTATCTGTCATGTCAATAGAAATGTAGTTGATTGTATATAGGGCCGGTAGAGTATTGTGTGGGTTTTTTCAATGTTAATTGTGCATGCAAATGCAACCAAGGTACAGGTTTAAATTTTTTTTATCATTCACTCGGTATTGGCAGTAAGAGACAACTTGATTTGCGTTTGAAACACAGAGTGAGAGACACGAGTAATGTTGTTTTGATTAATATCGGATTATTTGACATTGAACGGAATTTTCCGTTCCTGAAGAAGCTCCCAGGAAAGTGGAAGTGAAACGTTGAACATCGGGCCAAACAGCACGAGGTACGACTCAAAAAAACACAGCGGAGAGATGTTCGGTGCAGTATGGCAAAACTATGAAAACATTGAGTAGGCACTGCCTTGGTGTAACATACACATGCAGTATATTTTCAAAAATAATAATATATAATCACCGGGAAATAAGAATTTAGGTCAATGTATTAATACGCGTGGCGATGTCTTCACGATACGGTAACTGGGGCGAGGGTTAGTGGATCGAACAGAGATGGGGTCTGCATGATACACCTTCCCGAATCAATCCATGGCAAGCAGTACAGCAAGTAGGTTCCTATTCATCACATTGAAGTTTCTCCGTGAGTTTTTCTATGGTCACTATACTATCCTTGAACAAGTAAGCCAACGATCCAAACATGCCAATGCAGGCAGGGTTCTTCTGAAACCCAAGTCTTAGGTCTCACAATGGTCTTCCTGTGAAAACAAGAAAATCATTGTTATCACATTCTATGGTGTTGAAGGATGACGCTTGCTTGTAAGAGGTGAAGTCAATAAGGTAGCGATTGTTTATTTAAATGGGCACAACCCTGATGATGACACTGAGAAGCCAAAACCGAGTCCAGAGTTCGCCCTCATTAAATAAATGCTCAGCCAGAAGGCCGATTGATCGACACAGTCTATTTTTAATTGGCAATGAAACTCACGCGGCATTGATTTATCTACTTATTTCATATTCTATGGTTCTTTCGATGAAGTCACGTAGATAGAAGAAAAATAATAACAATTAAATAATAAATAATAAAAATAAAGGGAATAAAAAATAATGTCACGACGTTTCGTATCGCAACACAATCGGTCGTCAAAACGATGACGTATCACAACACAATCGGTCGTCAAAACGATGACGACCGATTGTGTTGCGATACGAAACATCGTGACATTATTTTTTATTCCCTTAATTTTCGTTTTTATTTTATAATTGTATTGCTATAATTTTTTTTCTATCTACGTGACTTTGCCGAAAGAACAATAGAATATGCATTCCTGCAGTCACGAAAGCTTCAAGTCAAAATTTAAATTATTTCGTATTTGTTACTAATGAGGCAGGGGGGGGGGATGGTGGGGGGGGGGGGCGTACGGTGAGGTCGGGTCATTATTGTTCGACAGTGCTGTACCTGAGAGATAATGTAGCTGCCGTCTCTGCTTTTGCCATTAGGACCGCTCCTCCCCCTGCGCCCGACATCCTCGGGGGTGGAGAGGGGTGTCGGGAGAGTCGTAGGGGCCTCGGGAACGCTGGCGCCGTCCCGCGGCTCTTCTCCGAGATAATCCGAGTCGCTCATTTCGGGCCAACGGGTCATGGCAACGTGCGTCGGCTCCTCCCCAAAGAGGGTGAACATCGGAGTGTGCGAGTAACCCGCGCTGGTGGTGACCGGGACGGAGCTGATTGGGCCCCTCGCGAGAGGGCGGCCGGTCGGTGCCTTGGTGCTCGGAAACAGGAATTCCTCGGTGTCCGTTCCCGACGACGCGAAGCCAGATTCCGAGGTCGCAGCGAAGTCTGGAGCTTCCCGAATAAAGAGTCGTGTCTTGCTGGTCACAACGTTTGTGTGAATGTGTTGTTGTGTGTGTGTGTGTGGTGCGTGAAAGGGGAGGGGGGGAGTGGTGGAAAAGTGGTTAGCACACACTGCACTGCAATACCAGCAACCAGCAAACAATGATTGACCCTTCGTATCTGGATCTGTATAACTGCAGGGGTGACAGCTGTTACTCATCCTCTCTGTGCCCATGAGAAACAAATTCAAGTTTAATACAACCTGGCCTCCAATAATCAGGCCAATAAAGCTGACGCAATGCTTACAATCGGTTCCAAATAAAGAAATCATCACGGCCAATAATGTTATGGTTGCTGTGAAAAAAAAATGTTCCTGCCAGATCCGATAAAGGTTGGAGTCAACAACGAACCTCCGAGGTCTGTTGTCACAATGTCTCACACTGTCTCAACCATCTGTCACAATATCTCACAATGTCTCAATCATCTCTCACAATGTCCCACACTATCTCAACCATCTGTCACAATATCTCACAATGTCTCAATCATCTCTCACAATGTCCCACACTATCTCAACCATCTGTCACAATATCTCACAATGTCCCAATCATCTCTCACAATGTCCCACACTGTCTCAACCATCTGTCACAATATCTCACAATGTCTCAATCATCTCTCACAATGTCCCACACTATCTCAACCATCTGTCACAATATCTCACAATGTCCCAATCATCTCTCACAATGTCCCACACTGTCTCAACCATCTGTCACAATATCTCACAATGTCTCAATCATCTCTCACAATGTCTCACACTGTCTCAACCATCTGTCACAATATCTCACAATGTCTCAATCATCTCTCACAATGTCCCACACTATCTCAACCATCTGTCACAATATCTCACAATGTCCCAATCATCTCTCACAATGTCCCACACTGTCTCAACCATCTTTCACAATATCTCACAATGTCTCAATCATCTCTCACAATGTATCACACTGTCTCAACCATCTGTCACAATATCTCACAATGTCTCAATCATCTCTCACAATGTCCCACACTATCTCAACCATCTGTCACAATATCTCACAATGTCCCAATCATCTCTCACAATGTCCCACACTGTCTCAACCATCTGTCACAATATCTCACAATGTCTCAATCATCTCTCACAATGTCTCACACTGTCTCAACCATCTGTCACAATATCTCACAATGTCCCAATCATCTCTCACAATGTCCCACACTATCTCAACCATCTGTCACAATATCTCACAATGTCTCAATCATCTCTCACAATGTCCCACACTATCTCAACCATCTGTCACAATATCTCACAATGTCCCAATCATCTCTCACAATGTCCCACACTGTCTCAACCATCTGTCACAATATCTCACAATGTCTCAATCATCTCTCACAATGTCCCACACTATCTCAACCATCTGTCACAATATCTCACAATGTCCCAATCATCTCTCACAATGTCCCACACTGTCTCAACCATCTGTCACAATATCTCACAATGTCTCAATCATCTCTCACAATGTCTCACACTGTCTCAACCATCTGTCACAATATCTCACAATGTCTCAATCATCTCTCACAATGTCCCACACTATCTCAACCATCTGTCACAATATCTCACAATGTCCCAATCATCTCTCACAATGTCTCACACTGTCTCAACCATCTGTCACAATATCTCACAATGTCTCAATCATCTCTCACAATGTCCCACACTATCTCAACTATCTGTCACAATATCTCACAATGTCCCAATCATCTCTCACAATGTCTCACAATGTCTCAACTGTCTGTCATAATGTCTCATAAAGTCTCAACCATCTGTCACAATGTCTCACAATGTCTCAACCATCTCTCGTTACGTATCACAATGTCTCCACCATATATTACAATTTCTCACAATGTCTCACAATGCCTCAACCATCTCGCTGAGGTATTCCCCTTGGTCACCAACTAACGCCCTTATCGGTAACCTACCCTTCTCCTTTCTACGGACATAACCCACCCATCACAAAAAAACACCTCTCTTTCTGCCTAATTGCATCGACGGGTGATGTGAATCGTAATTTTACTGATCCATGCCACCAGATGGATGCCGGAGGCGGGGGACAGAATGCGTGAGCTCTTTGAGATGACAACAACCTTCCCGTCTTTTACAACAATAGCCAAGAACTTTGAACGATGGTGTCTGTTCATCTTGTGAGTGTTGCCCACACCTCCGATTAGCACGGTTGGTGCGAAACAAGTTCTACATATGTACACATACATTTAACAGATGGATGGCATGGTTTCCTTACCTTAAATTGCAGCGGTTCCCGGAGCACCGGTAGCTGTGCAGCGTTGGTGGTGATGGTGGTCGTGGCATTGGAGCAGGTTTCATTCAGCTTCGTCTCAAAATATCGAACCTCCAGAAGCCAGATGGCAGGCACCACGTTGATCAGGTACAGAAGTATTGCCAGAGAGAGCCTGGTAAAGAGATGCACCACAACAACGTTGACTGTGCACGATTGCATAACGGAGCTGGCCAAGCCTGGAGATAAGGTTCCATGATGGTCTTAATGGAGCATCCAGCCACTCAGTCATCAATTATTCAGTTGCTGTATTAGGACCACAATATAGCCAATACTTAATAAATATTGGGACCTGGGTGTTTATACAAGGGGGTAACAATTTCTGACACTTGGAGAGACGGGGGGGGGGCCTTATTCAGCCGTGGATTGCTCGTAGCTCAATCCACGCTTTCACTCTTTTTCTCCTCATGCCCCCCTTCACCGGAACAACCCGCACCACATTAAACAGTCACCTTCGCTCACTAGTTTCCGCTCCGCACTCAAAACTCCCTAACTCACAAGGCAGAGTAATGTACTCAAGTTTAAGAAATAGCTAATCCCCAGAAATGAACATTTTCGCCGTGACGTATGTACAATGGAAATGTCACACGTGCCCTTTGCTCAGTGTCACCCTTCATGTACGTATGTATATTGAACTTCTTTCGCACAGTACGTCGCCAACAGGGCTAATCGGAGGTGCGGGGGAAGGACGACACACTAAACAGAAAAAAAGCATTTCTAAAGAGATGACTTTTCAATCACGATGATTTAAAAGTACACAGATCCGGTGGCTTCCTCATATCGGAAGGAAGAGCGTTTCCAGACGGCAGCAGAAGCGCGTCTGAAAGCGCCACGCGATGCGGTGAGCGTCTTTGTTTGATGGCCAGCAGCCAAAGGCCGCTGCCGTTGTGAGGATGGCCGGAGTTCACGTGTGTGGTGAGATTCCACGGGACTGTGGAATTTCCTCAACTGACTCGGCATCAGGAAAAAAAAGGATAACCACAACCGCACATTTTTCAGGGGAATATTTTCATTTGTTTTTACTTATTAATTGTGGCTGCATGTATGTTGAACTTTTTTCGCACCGTACATAGCCAACCATGATAATCGGAGGTGGCTGCTGGCAATGCTATTGAAAACTCATCACTAAATCTACAGCATTACGGGGTTGTTCAGAATAGTAAAACAAACGTAACAGGTAATTGTGCAGCCCTGCAATAGCTGCTTACGTCACTGCTGACAGAAGAGCATCGGACGAGTGGAGGCCCATACTCTTTCATATTGGCAGCTTGTCTCGGAAGAGGTGGTAATAATCCTCACGCTTTACCCCACCAAACGCAACCAGACTCAACACACCAACGGGCTAACTGTGGTGTACCTATAACAATAGGTTTTACCCTTTCTGGCAATAAAGCAGGTGTTAAGATGCTAAAACACCGAACAGAATCCTTGAATGTATGTATGTTTAAAGGATTCTGTTGGGTGTTTTAACATCTTAACACCTGTTTTATTGCCAAAAAGGGTAAAATCTATTGTTGATGCTTGCCAAACTCGCTCCACACGAGAACCCACACTGGCAAGAAAGCTCCCATATTGTGGTGTACCAATTGATGCTGCCTGGTGGACAGAGGACGTGGTGATGATTTGGAGAAAGTTGTGATTCGACTGTTAAGCTGGGAGATGGACTCGATACGGCGACCTCTGGATTGCAAGTCCAGTGGCCGCTGCTAACCGCTCCACCGGGGCAGCGTCACTGTGCAGGCTCAAAGGCGCCACGGTCGGGAGATGTTAACTACCTCGCCTGGTATACAGGATGTCGTGAGTTCGATCCGGACCCTGGCGCCCGCTGTATATTTGGAGTTTGCATGTTCTACCCGTGGTCGCGTGGATTTTTCTCCGGGGCACCTCCCGCTTTTTCCCTCCACGTGTAAAAAAAAAAGGCGTTTAGACTTTAGAGTATTTGGCTGCTGTAAATGTCCACTTCGTTGAGCGGTCATTTGTGGCCGAGGTCGCTTCTGAAAAAGAGCTATACAGCTCAGTGGGCCTTACCTGGTAAAATAAAAAAAATAGTGTCAGTGTCCTTCATTGCAAGGCCTGAAAGGACACTGGTGGCTACTGGTGGCCTCAAGTGCAGCCTCTGACGTGCAGCCCCCAGACAATAAACAAATCGTGATAAAAAAAAAACCTTACAGGCGGTGTGGCGGCACTCACACTGATGATGTCTCATCGGCGAAAGTGTCCCCCCCCCCCACGCCCGGCCGTCCGCCCCCGGCCCCTTCTGAAAATGTGTGAAGAAACACCGCTGCGAGGAGCATCGTGTGGCGGACAGCCCAGACATACCACTTGTAGTCCTTGCCCTTGCGTAGCACCAGCGTAACGATCAGCTCGAGTGGCAGCAGCAGCACGAGGAGCAGCAGAAGCCAGTAGAGGCGGTGCTGCGTGTGCACGGCGACCCTCCAGACGCACGCCAGCGCATGCACCGCGAACACCAGGCGCGGCACGATGGCCCTCAGCATGACCAACAGCGTCATTGCCCTCAACGGGTCCCTTCTTTTGGCCACAGTGTCCGGTCCGGCGTGTCTCCGCGGCGTCGCTGCTGCTGCTGCTGCTGAGAGGTCTTCTGACTCTGGCCTCGTCGAAGTCGAAGCCCCCTTCTGCACAGACGAGCGGGCGAACTCTCGTCTACGAGGCAGTGAGGGAGGTAACAAATCGGTCACTGTTGTGCAGAGTCGCAGAGCTCTGTGCGGGCGGTTATTCACTGCCAAGTCTGACTCTGACCACAAAGTGTGCCTCTCATAACGGGGCCTGACCCACCCATTCACTCCTCCTCTTCCTCCGCCGCCTCCTCCTCCCATGACTGTGAAACCGATTTAATTTCCTTCCTGCCAAACTGTTTTTTTTCGGTGGAGCGTTTACGTTAACATTTGTTTAAATCGTCTTTAAATTGTTCATGAGCCTCATTAGATGCTGCCGTCAATATACATACATCTGTTTTGGCCAGCTGCTGCGAAAGCTAGCAATGGTTAGTTGGAATATTACTTAAGTGGCAAATTCTCAAGCTCTGTTTGGTTGAAATTTTATCAGTGCCAAGTAATTCCCAGAGGCCTGGCCAGAGAGCCAGCCGAGTCAGCACGAATAGAACTGACATCATCCTTCCGAGTGCACCTCCTTATTTCGCTCGTGTAGCGGCCATAATTTTCCAAATGTTAAAGTCATGAATAGTAAGCAATTTTATATGTCAGTATTGAGCTATCGTTTATTGACTCTGTATGTTTACTATGATTCAATATTATCCATAATAGAGGTTTTTTTTTGGGGTGAGATCGTGTAAATATGTGTCGTTAAACCCGCCACTACCCTACATAGCCATTTAGTAAGGTTTGTCACGTAAATAAAACGTGCCAATTAGTTATTAGTTCAGCACACCGGTGTATTGGAGAGTAAACCCACAATATAAACTCGTAATGAATTTGCATGTTTTGTTTACGTGACAAACCTTACTAATTGGCTATGTCGGGTGGTGGCAGGTTTAACGACAAATTTATATTTATGCGATCCAACCCAAAACAACCTCCATTATGGATGCTTAATTTAGTTTCTTTAAAACGTTATAATTTAACACGATGAATTTTTTTTCAAGAAACGTCAATGTGTCTCCCTTACCAAGCAAACATCGGAAGGTCCCCAATCACATTGGTGTCCCTGAACCAGTGGAGTCAATTCCATGTTCTTCTGGCAGGCATCCAGCGTGGAATATCAATCGTTTTCATGGCAACCATATGTGAAATACTATGAGTTCACACATCCATTCACCCTCGTGCCTTTTCACGGATGTTTGCGGAACGTTTTGCAGTTGAGAGCAATTACAGAAATTGTACAATTGATGGCAGCCAGCATATATGACATCAGCAAGGACGAGCGTTTTGAACTTGCTCAATTAAAAAAAGAGAGATGATATTGTCATCCTCTCAGCCGACAAGGGCAATGCCACTGTCATCATGGATAAAACCATATACAGGACCTTCTTATGGATGGTAGCTATACCAAAATCAATAAAGATCCTACCAACCGCTTGGTTACGAAAACCAACAATGTCATCACGAACTCGACTTCTCTAATCGAACCAACCAAGCGGCTCTCTCTAAAACCTTCTGCTGCTAGACCACCCAGATTTTATGGCCTTCCAAAAATCCACAAAGAAGGTACACCGCTCCGTCCCATCGTCTCCACCATTAACTCACCCACCTACAAACTGGCACGATTTCTGTCTGAGACCCTGCTTCCATTCACTGGCAAGACCACCTCAGCTGTACTTAACTCAGCTCACTTGTTTTTTTCTAATCAAGGACATCTCACTGTCTCCAGATGATTTGCTTGTCAGTTTCGATGTAGTCTCTCTGTTCACCAAGGTACCTGTGCCTGACACCATTGCAATCATTAGTTCATAGTTCCATTTATTTGGTATAGCCCTGTGAGCCATTCGGCTCTTGAATTGGGTGCAACCGCAACAAACAAAAAACATGAACAATAAAGTCACGTAGGTAAAACAAATTAAAATAAATTGACATAAAATAAAAGAAACAATTAAAACACGACGTTTCGGAGGCAAAGCAAGCTTCCGTCTTCAGGTGGGACCAATCACAGCAAAATCGCTGCACCAAGTGGTGAGGTTCTGGGAACCTCGAGCTTAAATACAGGTTGAGGGGGGGGGGTGTGGGAGGGGCCATGTAGGGGACTTTAGTGGAGTGTGGAGCTGAGTTAATCTGTCTTTTGTTGTGTAGATGGGTCACTGTGTGTGTGCAATATAAACGGGAAAAAATAAAGAAGATCGTCGAGGATGTGCTGTACGGGGGCAGCACATTCTCGACGATCTTCTTTATTTTTTCCCGTTTATATTGCACACACACAGTGACCCATCTACACAACAAAAGACGGATTAACTCAGCTCCGCACTCCACTAAAGTCCCCTACATGCCCCCCCCCCCTCAACCTGTATTTAAGCTCGAGGTTCCCAGAACCTCACCACTTGGTGCAGCGATTTTGCTGTGACTGGTCCCACCTGAAGACGGAAGCTTGCTTTGCCTCCGAAACGTCGTGTTTTAATTGTTTATTTTATTTTATTTCAATTTATTTAAATTTGTTTTACCTACGTGACTTTACCGAATAAAACCAAAGAGTATGAATCCTTGCAGTCACGAAAGCTTCAAATCTAGAATGAACCAGAAAACATCTTAAAGTGATTATATGACTGTGCAAACAGAAAATCCAGGAAAAAAAACATCAAAAATAATCCTGAAATAGCACCGTACACCAACGCTGTGTGCAAAAATCCCAGTGGGATGCAAGTCAAACAACAACAACAACCACAAGACAACTAAGATTTAGGCTATCAGTCTAACTCCGTACTACAATAAACAAAAACATGGCCAAACCAAAAAAAACGTTTCCGAAATCACCAAAATAAAAGCCATATATGCAATGTAACAGTGATCATAGGGACTGTGACCGAATTTTTAACAATAAACTACATAAATAAATTATAACACCAAACCCTAGAGCCATATTTTAGGCTACTGAATAGCAGTGGCAGCTAGGGGTGTACAACTCTTCTAGAGCAGTTTTGAGTGAAGATCTCATAGGTAGTGATTCAAGTTGCAGTTTATTGGCAAAAGCATTCCAGACCCTGGGGGCATCAATAGCAAAGGCCCTTCCTCCGGTTTTTGTATGGCAATAAGGAATGTGAAGCTGGTAAATGAGCGAAGACCTGAGGCCAAATTTGTTCTTTGAAACAGAGAGGAGATCCAGTAGGTAGTCTGCGGATTTTTTTTGGAAGTAGATCGTGAATAAATAAGATCGATTGAAGACTTGGTCCAACAGGGACTGAATTCTGATGTGACAACTTTGGTGAGGCACTACCTTACCAACCTGGAATGGTACATTCTCCAAACAAAAGAAGGGTACCTCAATGGGTTCACCCTTATCGCCAGTGGTAGCGAATGTTTTCATGGATACATTTTAGACAGATGCCATCCAGACATCCACCCTACGTCCTTACTTGTGGAAGAGATACTTAGATGCACGTTCGTCATCTGACCACATGGCCAGCCAGCACTAAACCAATTCTTCAACCACATTAATTCCATACACCCAGCCATCAAATTCACCATGGAAGTGAAAAAGGATGGCTAGTTACCATTCCTGTATGTTTTGATCGAGAAGAGACCTGATGGCTCGTTGGGACATTATGTCTACAGGAAAGCCACTCACACGGATGCCTATCTAAAGCCTGACTCCCACCACCATCCATCCCAGAAGAATTCCCTCATCAAAACACTACATTAGACATTTGTGACGATGTGTGACGAGGGGGGGGTTGAGAAATGTGACGTCACATTAAAATGCGCAACTTTGAATACATATAGACAACACGTTCTACTTAATTAAACAGACTTTTTAATCGATGTTTTCTCCTACAACATCAGAGTGCAGCGCCATATTAAATACGCACTACAATGACAATAGTTTAAAGCGATTTAAAGCATGTTTTATATATATTTGGGGGGGGGGGGGCAGAGCTTTGTGACGTCATATTTGTGGGGGGTCTAACGCCGTGTGACGAGGGGGGGGGGGTCAAAAATCGTCCAGAATCGCGTGACGTCATTTATGGACGGTCCCTTGACGAGCTGGATGTCCTTCTCGCTCAGTCACCGATGCTGCGACATACTAAGCTCGTGCATCGGCACGCTAATCTCTCACAATACAATAGTCACTTCCACAGCCTCAGGGAGACCATCTCTAGCCCCGTCCTCTTACCCTGAGGCTGCACCCATCTCAGGCCTACGTAAGACCTTGTTTCAGCTGCTTTTTCTCTCTCACCTGAAGACGGTCGCTTGTGTTCAGATCGAAACGGCGTGATCCATTCATACATTTCTATCTACGTGACTTTACCGAAAGAACCAAAGAGTAAGCATATATGACGCTACAGTTTTGTTACGTTTAAAACCAAATCGTGAGTCAAAGTATGAGGTGTCTCTTTGCTAAAACGTACAAAGTGAAGGCGTTAATCTCTCTTCCAGGCATGGGCCAGAGGTGGACATTCCACATTCTTACGGATGGCACGACCAGTTTAGCCACGTGACTACACTTGTCTTTCCAAAAATGGTACTCATTTTATCAACCCTGGTAGGATGAGTTACCAATCTACTCAGGATACTCCACTTCAATTATAATTATCGTCGCCATCATCATCAGCATCATAAGCCAGTGTCTATCCACAGCGAGATGAAGCCCCCCCCCCCCCCCCCCCCCACCTTTACGGCATCCCCATCTGTCGCAGTCCAGTGCTGCTCTCATCCATCTCACTCGTGCACGCGAACCGAATCTCTCTGTCACTCCGTCTCACTGGGATCATCACAGGGGGATTGCCTTCGCTCCTTGGACTTCTCTTCCGTCACCAGTCTCGCCCCATCGCGCGTGATGTTGCCCCAGTCCAAGCCAATTGGCTTCAACAAGCCCCCCCCCCCCCATCGCCATCGGTGGGCCCTGATCGGCACCTAAAACGCTTCAATTAACATATTTTTTTTAGTCAATCACGTCTCTTTGATTTTTTTCCCCCCGTCTTTGATTTGCTATTGTATGTTCAAATTATTTCGCGCCGTACGTCGCCGCGTTTATCGAAGGTGCGGGGTGAATATTTAATTTTTGTCGTTTACCATTGTAGATAGCGGTGCACCAGTGTGTCAAAGAATGACTGGCACGTCACTTCAATAGACGTCTTTGACCGCGCGATAGGAGCGCAACTTTTGATATGCCCTGCTAAAAGTGTTCATCGTGTGGCTTCAAAACAAATGTGTTTCATTCCCGGAGCTAAATTACGGCCATTAATTACACATGCATGTTTATCGTGAACGTTATCGCCACCTATCTTTGCCTGGAAGGGTGGGTGGCAGGGCGAGGTGGGGTCAGGAAGGAAAGGGAGAGGTTACAGTAAGCGATGGAGAAGAGAGAAGGCAGTGCCGTTCATCTGCAAGGCATCATTACCTCCGCCCTCTCATCCCCACCCCCCCCCCCAGAAGATTGCCTGACCCAGAGATTTCGATTTAAAGCTTTCGTGACTGCAAGGATTCATCTTCTTTGGTTCTTTCGGTAAAGTCACGTAGAATGAGAATAAAATAATAAAATAACACAATTAAATTCTCACGACGTTTCGAACCCCGCAACCTCAAAAACATCTCTGGGTCATCTTCTTTGGTTCTTTCGGTAAAGTCACGTAGAATGAGAATAAA